AACTATACATAAAGGTCCATGGCACACATATATATGTATATATATATACATATATACATATACATACATATACACATATATATATATACATATATATATATACATATATATATATATATAATGTACATGGCAGTTAAAGTCGTGTCGTTTGCTGGCCTCGCTCTTTGTCGAGCTTCTCCTCACGCAAGACACTAGGACGGCTTCTGGACATGCAGTTCAGGGCATCAAGGACAGGGAGTGGAATGCATTTGCGGAGCCCTTGCGTTCTCCATCAGTTTGAATGCCTTACGCTTCGTGCACCGACAATCCCTGTCCATCAGCACATCCCGCGCAGTTGCCAGAATGGCCGTGCTCTTGCCGCTTTCGAAAGCCGCCTGATGATGCAAACAAGCTTGTAGTTCTGGTATTTCGAGAGCCATGGAGATTTTCGTTTTCGTTGAACATGGTGAACAGCAACAACAATAGCAACAGCAACAGCAACAGCAACAGCAACAGCAACAGCAACAGCAACAGCCACAGCCACAGCCACAGCCACAGCCACAGCCACAGCCACAGCAACAGCAACAGCAACAGCAACAGCAACAGCAACAGCAACAACAACAGCAGCAACAATATCAACAGCAATGACAACAACAACGACAACGACAACCACAACAACATACTGCTAGTACTGCTGCTGCTACTGCTGCTACTACTACTACTACTACTACTACTACTACTGCAACTACTACTGCGAGTGCTACAACTACGATTATGGCGACTCCGCCTGCAGCTACGGCTGCGACTGCACTCACCACTTCCACTGCCACTACCGCTCCTCCTCCTGCTCCGGCCTCCTGTTGTTGATGGTACGACGACGACGACGACTAGCACCATCACCGCGACGACGACTTCAGTTGCTTCCACGACTACGACCACGCCATTTCTGCCAGTCTGGGGCTGTTATGGCTGATGCTGCTCGTGTGAGAGGCCAGAAAGCCTTTGCCGTATAAATACATTGCCAAGTAAACACCAAGCGCACAACCCAGACTACTGGCCCTTGTCAAGTTGATGCAGATTTACGCCTGCGGCCGCAGGACGAACAGAGTTTCTTTGCATCACTGTCGTGTGTTTGCCAAGTCAAAGCCATTGCACTGCTGGCAAGGCAACGCCATGCAGTGTGAAAACGCCGTCACTTGGCCGGGGGACACCCCTTTCACGAAGCCCGAGGCTTACATGACTTGAATGTCATTGTACGAGCTGCAACTTCCTGGGCATGCTGAATCAGCTACCATGCGAGCTCTGTGCAAGGAGCAGGTCGAAAATCGGTCTGAGCTCCTGATACTGTCCATCTCCAATTCGAGGACAATGCGCAGTCGGTTCAGCCAGCTGCATGCCGCCATTTGGGCAATCCAGCTATGCTGCCGACCATTACAAATACCAAGTGCCCCGAAGTGAAGTCTTGGTATGACGCGGGCTCAGTTGCAAAAGTTGCTAGATTTTTCTGGCTCGGAGCTCTTCCGAACATCCCCCAGTGGACTCAGACTCAAGAGTTATAGGGTTTAGGGTTTAAGGTTTAGGGTTTAGGGTTCATATAGGGGGTTAAAGCGCTTTTAAACAGAGCGCGCGATCGCTACCTCGAACAGCGCGCATGGAACGTATAGGATTTGTTTGCCAAATGCAGGACGGCAGCAGCTGGTAAGGGCAAAAGAAGGCAAGGAGTAGCTGTGAATCCAAGAACCTAGGGTTCTCTAAGGGTTGCAGGGTTTTTCGGTGTCGTATAAGGGCTGATGGGTGCAAAGACAAACTTTCATGCCACGCCCCTCCGGGGCAGCAGCTGCTTTGGGAGATCGGACTGGCTATTGGCTGTCAATAGATTCAAGCCGCACTGCCTGGCAAAACATAGATCGAGCTACAGTGCCCGGTCATTCCTAGCTTCTCGTCCTGTGCTTTCGGATGCTAGGGGCCAGAGCACCAAAGAAATCAATCCGCCTTGTAAAAATCCTTCCCAGCTCACTTTAAAGTTGTCCCCTGCTCACGCCATCGTCGCACTGCCACAGCTCACGCAGCGACCACTCCCGCTGCACTATTCGCGGCAGTCTCCAAGCGCTTTGCTTCCAGCCCACCGACCTTCCATGGAAGCTTTGCCCAAACATCTTGGAACGTCTTCCCCACACCTCGCTGGCGGCTTTCGCCGAGCTCCTGCAACTCTTCAGCCAAAGCCTTGGCGGCGGATTCGTGCGAGCTTCCTGGCACCATGAGGAAGACTTCTGTCGCGAATCCCACAACCGCATCCTTCGGACTCTTGTACCGCCTCTCGTACTCGGGGCAAGTCATAGGCGGGCCCTCCACCGAGATGCTTGGACCTGGCGAGGTTCTCTTGTTCTCTATTGGGGTCGCTTTTAGGGTTCTGGTTCTGACTATGAGAGTGAGCGATGCCGTCTGCTGCGGATCCGAACAAGGGACCCTAATTTGCACAACCACGCACCTTGCTTCTTCAACAACGCGGCTTCGGTGAAATCGATCCACAGCATGTCATTGCTGGATGGTGACTGAAGCACCTCGGGACTTCTGGGAACTAGGGGCACCTTATTTCATCGAGAAGTGTACCAAGGGGCAATGTTTCTAGGGTCCTCTATACACAGTATATAACACAGTATCCCACTATCTGAATTTTAACCGTCTCTTGTGAGGGGTCCTATAGTAAGACTTCTACCAGTCAGGACCCTGTGTTTCCTGGACACTCCCACCTGGACATCAACCCCGGCCACGCCGGCTTCTAAGACGCGTACGGCAGTTGCCATGAACCTTTCCATGCGATCTTCCTCCTGCGACTCCAGCGGGCGTGGGTTGCCGCAGCCGTTCTTCACCGAGATGTTACGGCCTGGGAGGCAAGGTGTCAAAACCATGCCTTGACGAGGGCCGGCCGTGGTCGTCACCTCGCCAAACCCGACGCACTTCTCGATGTTCGGAACCTTGGCCTCAGTTGCCGAACTTCTCATATGTCGGAAAGATGTCAACTTCCTGGCTAGCAGTGTCTACTACTTCTGTAGAGTGTAGTACTGTGCACTCTTGAGGACTACCTAGTCAGTGTAAGCGGCATCATTCAAGATCTTCAGGACTCTCCGCTCGTGCTCAAGGCTACGCATCGCGTAGTCGGTGTTGGCTCGGCTGAGTTTCACCACCGCCTGGCCGTTTGAGGTATCGGCGGAGAAGACTTCTGCCTGCACACCTCCACCAAGGTACTTGGGATTTCGAAGTGGAGTGGTGCCACAGGAGAAGGTATTCAGGAGGAGGTTCGGCTCTCCCGGCACCTGTGCTCGGACGCGAGAGCGCAAAGATCCCACAGTGAAGATGGCCGCCACGGTAGAGACACCGAGGAACTGCAAGAACTCGCCTCGACCAAGGCTCGATGTCTCGGATGATTCGGGCGACGATTGATCGACGATTCTGGAAGCCCTCAAAGACGGTGGGCCAAGTTGCCTTGCTCGAACAAGGTTGCTAACGCCCACGCGTGGTGCGCTTGCGACGTCGATCGGAGCCATGCTGCTGAACAGGCTACGTACAGGCGTCAAATAGCGGGAATCAGCTGGATTCCTGTCCCGCCTTGAAGTATTTAGATCTTGATGATCTTGAGCCACGTAGTGTGAAAGGAGCAACAGGCACAGCACAGTTGCCGATGGCCCCAGGCCTTGTCACTTGTCCAAAACTCGCGACATCCCAAGTACCCATCCTCTATGGCTCCGAATAGCTCGGCGGAAATACACTAGACCTCAGGAAAGGAAGTTTTGTATACTTCGAACACGATAGACTCCAAGCCCTAAACCCTAAACCGACTCCAAGCCCCAAGATACGGAATATCGGTGCAGAAGGAACCGAAGATCGCGACCTTGATCTTCGACTCGAGCTCTGAATGCTGGCCAAGCTTGAGCTGATGCTCTTGCATCGAGGTGGTGTACTCCTGTCCATATGTATAAAAATATCTATGATGTGTACTTATATATATATATAT